GAGACTTGACCATCCACTGCCATTATCTTACATGGAAAGAAATCACGGGTTAGAATCAGCAAAAACGTCATGGGTTTGATTTATTCTCCACCATTCAGTATCATTGATTTTTAGGGACAATCGAAATTACTACCCTCTCAGATTTTCTCATTTTGTTTGTCAGGACATTACGTGACTTTACCAAAAGTTCATTTCTGCATGATCTTAGTATTGTTATTACTTGGATGATGCAATTATTTGTTATAACAACATCAAATGCATTGGCATAATCATCATGAATATTGTAATAGACATGATACAATAATGAAGACAAAGGTAATCTTTGGCCAACATACATGATCAGAAAGAATCTTTTTGATAAGAATGTGAATAATTAGAATTTCATTAAATGTTGATTTTATTAAAATTAAAATCAATATATATATATATATATTAATAATATAAATTGTTTACCATGTCATCAAAATTTATGTGGTCAGAAAGAAAACCCAGATTCTTTGAAAAAATACTTTACTAAACTATATTCTATTCTATATAATTATTATTAATATTTGGTTTCTTTTTGTTTTTTAAAATAATCAAATGTGTACATTTTTTATTATTTGACTTTTTCAAAAAATATTCAAAGTAAGTTTTACATCTAAAAATTCATGAAGCAGTATTTTTAAATTTACCTAATATTTCACCATTATAAATTAAAGTAGGTATTGATTTGAATATTCCAGGTTTACCATGGATTGGTATGTATTTTGTTGAAATTTCTAATCCATTTAATATTTTTCCTGCAACATTATTAAAAGCAAGAAAATCACATATTTCTCCTCCCTCTAAAACCTTCATTAAAATCAAAGGACAAGGTGATGCTATGTATCTGGTCTTTGAAGTTTTGGAAAATCCTGATTTTGAAGATAAAATACCAATTGTATTAGGTGGCTCTTGACACAAGGTTCCTTCGAGTTCTCTTACTGTATTAGGTCCACATTGTGCTGATGTATCTTTACATTGTATTATAATATGAAAATCATCACTGTTTGGTAATGTTAATTGTCCATAAATCTTTATCCTAGAATCATCAAGTTTTGTAATATATTT